TGATCCTAGTCCCCTGAGGAGACATACCTTCTGGACCATCATTATTGGAGCAACTTTTGTCTGGATTGGGATCTATGGAGTCAACCAAGTGCAAGTTCAGAGATATATATCCTGCAAATCACTTACTCATGCTAAAATGTGAGTTACTACACCAGACAAGGTACTTAGGGGCAATAGGGGAGAACTGAGGGATTACAGCATCTCTAGAGGCAGCACGCAATGGGGGCCAGTAAATGCTATCAAAAGCAAATCAGGTCTTTATGGCAGGTTTTGATTCATGTTTTGCTTCATGTCAATGTCATAGTGTCCGTGGAATTTAGAATGTGGCACTATACTATAGTCAGATTTGGTATTTGGGCCTTTAGGACCTTTAATAATGCAGCTGGCAACGCAGACACCCCTTGAACCTGAGAGAGGCTGGTTATTTAGAGTTTGTTCATAATTCTATCCATGTGACACCCGGAAGCCATCAAATTTTGTCAGAGAGTTTGTCCTGAGTAAAGACCACATAGTTTAGAAACAGATTTTGATTATTATCAGTGGTCACATGAAAATGGTTGTGAATTATTTCCATTCTTTTTGATGACAACTCAGCACACAGCAGAGTCAAGCCCACTGGCTATTAAATAGTCCTTTAACATACTTCAGCCAAGTGCTCCAACATGGTACTTAAGCGTACCATGTCTTAGGCCTTATCTACCAGCACTGTAACCCCCAGACAAGCATTCATCAGCACCATCTTAACTTCGTCCCAACATCAGTTCCCATTAGTAGCACTAGTTTCCATCTGCTCCATGTATACACTTGACCTGAATGGTAGATAAAATCTGACCATGACTTGACTTCTCTCACCATAAGAGAAAAGTTCTCTCTGCTTAAGAGCTTTATTGTGTGTATGCAGGTCTCTCTATGTGAACATGGTAGGACTGTGGGTCATACTCCTATGTGCAGTCTTCTGTGGGTTGTGTCTGTACTCGATTTACCAACACTGTGATCCCTGGACAGCAGGTGTAATATCTGCGCCTGATCAGGTAGGAGACCCAACGCCTAAAATCAGGTCGCGGTCACTTGTTTCAAATATTATGGAGAGATCCATTTTGTATATAATTTTGTTTGCCATCTCTACTTTGGATATATGAGTGCTTATTTTTCAAGCCAGAAATGAGCAAGAGGCCCATGGGGTCTGTATGGCTCATCTGGTTTGACAACGCAACAATTCTTTTCAGTTATGCAGTAGTAGAAAGTAAACATCAGTATATTGTACAACATGCCGACATAGACATTTTTCATCTACAGCAAGTATTGACGTGATGTTAATCTGTAAACAATCAGTCTCAGCAGTTAATGCACTATTAACTTCAAGTGAAGTCAGTGTAGTATACAAAAACGTGGTTTGGCGAATCCGTCTTGAGAGTTCCATACAAAATGGATTTTAATTCATGTACAGAAAAAATATGAACATTTCAACTTCATCTGGACCAAGACATTGAACACTTTTAGCATGTTTGTTCGATTTAGAATCCATTCACAGCAACTTGAGGACAAAACAAAAATTTGTCATCCAGTTGGATACAAGGACAACCATACTGGGTTCTAAATCGACCCAATATAAATAACAAAACTTAGTCAGGGCATAGAGGAGAGTATTTGTCGCAAGTTTGATCCAAATGTATCGAGTGGCAAGGAGTCGAAAATGTGTTTGCCAATCAGGGGCTAGGGTAGCCACATTGGATGCTGCATCAACCTGAAAATAAAAACAAGCCGGATCACAAGACAGTCATTAGCACCAAATGTGATCAAAATCTGACCACCGGAACTGCAAAGCAGTTGAACACGCATCACCCAATCATTGGATTTTTAATCGAGCCAAAAAAAACAACAACACTTGATCGGGGCCATAAGATGAACATTTAAATTAAGTCTGATCCAAATCTGTCGTGTAGAACTTTAGAAAAAGATGAAAATGTGCTGATCAAAGGCCAGGGGGGTTATATTGGATGCTTAATTGAGGCAAAAAATAGCACTTGTTCAGGGCTATGAGAAAAACATGCACCAAGTGTAATTCAAATCTGAGCAGTGGAACTGGAGAAGTCAAAAATGCATCAGCCAATCAGAGACCATTGCAACTATACTCAGTCAAAAAAGAAACTTCACACTCAAAATTTCTAAATATTTTCTTGAAACTTAATACAAGAGATATTATTATTATTATTAGGGGTAAATGCGTTGTCAAAGACATCATGACACACAGCAACTCCGACGTGCACAAGCATGCAGCACGTGCGAGCATACATCAAGGTAAAAGCACGTTTCCTCGTGTTCCTAGTCACGTGACCTTATGAGACACGTGCAATTGAGCCCACGTTAGCACGGTAGAGTGACATCTCGGAAAAACAAGTTCTTACAGTCAATTATCCGTTGATTTGCAATGCCACGACTGTCAAACATTCAACGTGAACGTGCCATTGGCATGCTGAATACGGAACGCCGGTCACTGACGTTGCCAGGGTTATGGGATGCAGTCGACGGACTATCCATGATCTTCGGACACGTCTCCAACAAACTGGCACCACAGCAGACCGACCTCGTTCGGGTAGACCACGTGTGATGACACAAGCAGAAGACCGACAAATCGTCTTACATCATTTGCGTAATCGATTTCTCACTGCATCGTTCACTAGGAATGAATTGTTTAGAGGTCGTGTGACTGCCCAAACCATACGTAATCGCCTGCGCACTGCTCGTCTCCATGCACGTCGGCCATATCGTGGACCAATTTTAACCCAGTTACACTGACGTCAACGGCTTCTCTGGGCACAACGACATCTGAGATGGACTCAGCGTGATTGGAATAGGGTCGTTTTTAGTGACGAATCCAGATTCACTTTGCGCTTCGCTGATGGGAGAGTTAGAATTTGGAGGAGACGCGGTGAACATAACGCCCAGTGTTGTGTGCAGGAAGTGGACCGTTTTGGGGGCGGTAGTGTTATGGTTTGGGGTGCCTTTAATGGTCCTGCCCGTTCCCGACTGATGGTCGCTCAAGGAAACCTAACTGCTGCAGGATACAGAGCTTTTGCCATTCATGGCAGCTCATGGCCCAGGTCTGACATTCCAACACGATAATGCCAGACCTCATACGGCCAATTTAACTCGGAATTTTCTTAGGAATGCTGGCATCAATGTCATGGAGTGGCCCTCAAGGTCTCCCGACCTTAATCCCATAGAACATGTATGGGATGTGTTGGGCAGAAGACTCCGTCAAGTAAGGAACCCTCCGCAGAATTTGCAAGAACTTGGTGCCATGTTGGTTCAATTATGGCGACGCATCCCCCAAGCTGTGTTCAGACGCATCATTCAATCCATGAGGAGACGTTGCGTCGCAGTTGTGAATGCTCATGGAGGGCATACGCGCTATTGACATGCTTTCATCAAGTTGTAACTTACCATTTTTACTCTCTTACATTTCCGTAGCATGTCTGGTGGAACTGGTTACATTATGAACATGATTTTTATGGTACACCGTCCTTAATGGGTACAGAATGGAATTAAATCATTATTTAAAACCACTTTTCTTGTATGTTCAACTTATCGACCTCCAAACGAGTGTGAAGTTTCTTTTTTGACTGAGTATATACTGGAATTTGAATCAAGCCTAAAAATAACACTTGTTCAGGGCCATGAGACATATACACAATGGCTGATCCAAATCTGACCTGTGGAACTGGAAATAAAGTCATAAATGCGTCCGCAAATTAGACACCAGGGCAACCAAACTGAATTCCAATTCAAGCCGAAAAATAAAAACTCTTGGTCAGGGCCATGAGAAGAACATTTGTATCAAGTCTGGTCCAAATCTGCCATGTAGAACTTGAGAAGTTGAATACGTGTCAGACAATCAGAGGCCAGGGCAGCTTGATTGGACTCTGAATCAAAGAATATCTACAGTTGGTCAGGGCCATCAGAAAAACATGTGCAGCAAGTGTTATCCAAATCTGACCAGTGGAACGGGAGAATTTAAAAATGCATCAGTCAATCAGTGACCAGCGCAGCCATATTGGATTCCGAATTGAGCTGAAAAATAACAATACTTGGTAAGCACCATGAGACAAACACGTGCACCAAGTGTAATCCAAATCTGAGCATTGGAATTGGTAAAGAAGTCAAAAATGCGTCAACCAATCAGAAACCAGGACAGCTATATTAAATTTCAAATTGAGCAAAGAAATAACACTTGGTCAGGGCCATGAGACTAATAAATACACCACATCTGATCCAAATCTGGCCAGTGGAATTGGAGAATAAGTCGAAACTGTGTGAGCTAATCAGAGGCCAGGGTGGCCATATTTGATTTTGAATAGAGCTGAAAAATAACTAGACTTTGTCTGGACTATGATAAGAACATTTGTACCAAGTCTGATCCAAATCTATTGGAAAGAATTTGGGAAGACGCTGTTCAAAGAAAAGGTTGACAGACGGATGACAGACATATGGACAGAACGGCAATAGCTCGCAAGGTGAGACAGAGACTGAGAGAAGAGAGAGAGACAGAAGGCAGAGAGAAACAGACAGAGAGAGGTAAATGCCCTCATAGCATAAATTCAGGATGGGCCATTTGTAAATCCAGTGTCCATCCAGTGGAGAAACCTTCACTGTCTTTACGGTCACCAGTCCCTCCCCCTAGTCCACTTACTGAATCGCTCCACCACTTATTAATTTGACAGTCAAAAATTCACAAGGACCTGGACTAACCATCTATCAAATCACTAAATGTTGAATGTTATTCACCTGTTCAGCTAATGCCGTACCTGGTCCTGGATATCCTGAGAGCCTACCCCGGACTCCCAGGACTCTTCGTGGCTGCAGCATACAGTGGAACTCTGAGGTGAAAGGTCGTATCTGCATTAAACATAATTTCCAGGCCTTGACACAGTCTCAATCTGCTACATGCCACTGTTGAAACCACAGAGACTGCTTTGACAGTATATCTGTTACTATATGGTGGCATGGTGGTGCAGTGGTTAGCACTATCGCCTCAGAGCAAGAACATTGTGGGTTTGAACCCAGCCTGAGGCCTTTTTGTGTGGAGTTTGCATGTTCTCCCCGTGTTAGCGTGGGCTTCCTCCAGGTGCTCTGGTTTCCCCCACCCACAAAAACATGCATCATAGGAACACTCCTGCCAGTACCCCTGACCAAGGTACTGGCTTTAGAACTGGAGTTGGTCCCTGGGTGCTGCTCTGTGGCTGCCCACTGCTCCTAACTATAGGATGGGTTAAATGCAGAGGACAAATTACCCCCACGGGGTTCAATAAAGTATATTTTATCTTAGTGGTTTGTGTCGGTGCATGCACACATGCACTTTTATGAGTGCCTACTTGTTGATGACATAATATTTTGTGTTGGGCTGCAGTTAGAGCGTGATTATCCTATGGTAATACTTGAACATTCCTCTCTACAGCACAGTCTCCTCCAGTATAAATGGTCTGGCAGCAGTAACAGTGGAAGACCTGATCAAACCATATTTCAACATTTCTGAGAAGAAACTGTCCTGGATATCCAAGGGCCTAAGTAAAGAATAGCGTCCATTGCTACTCTGTCATGTCAATACACAAGGAAACCGTGATCTAAATCTTCTGTGTATCAGGCCTGTTACATTGAGGTGTCACACAACTTTTCCATTGTTGCAACCATGCTGTTATCAGCGTTGCAGACACATTGCCAAATCTTGTTGACAAGATTTCCCATTGTCTAGCTTAGCACACATCACATCAAAGAAACTCAAAATAAAAGACTAAGATATACCAGCTTTACCTTCAAGTTCCAAAACTTTTGTTAAACAATTAATGTGTCTCTGACAAGCCAACTAGCATGGAAAGCATTGGCTACTCTGCATATTTTTCCATTTAGCTGGCTAGCAATCTGCACTTAATATGTTGATTAGGCCAAATACCTATGGTACCTGATGTAATGAATTGTTACTGTGCTTAGAAAACTGACCAGGTTTAAGACCATGTCACCCCTTGGCCAGTAATTTAACTGATTTTGATGAGACTGTGAATAGAGTGCATAACTATCCTTTGTCATATTTCTTTCAGTGACTGTCATTTGTTCTGTTCCAGGCCTGATGTATGGGGCTTTGTGTATTGCGATGGCTGGTGTAGCATCTTTGATGGGGGGTCTCATACAGGCAAGAAAAGACATTCAATGGACCTTCTCTCATGTCCAATTACTCATTTCATGTCCGTGCAATTTCTCAAGAGGTTGTCAGACATTTTGCTAATTAAATGCTAAATTACTGTATATGTCAATGTCTCCTACTCCAGGCAGCTGTCAGTATCTTTGGAATCATTGGAGGGCCACTTCTGGGCCTCTTTACTTTAGGCATATTCTTCTCATCCACCAACTCTACTGTGAGTATGAGGGTCTGACAAACACTAGCACGGGTCTGGGTTTGTTTCTATGTTAAGAAATATCGCTGTATTTCAGAGTTCCAAAATGCCCAAGTGCTCAATGCCTTCATGCATCTTTTTCAGGGTGGTCTGGCTGGTCTGCTCAGTGGGTTAGTCATGTCTCTGTGGGTAGGAATTGGGGCTCAGGTGTACCCACCCCGGCCAGAGAGCATGCGGCCTCTGGCCTTAAGTACAGCTGGCTGTAACTTTACTTTGTATGGAGATAGCATGAACCTGACCATGGGATCAACACCACTGCCTCACACCACCACAATTTTACAAGAAAACAATGACTCAGTGGACCGGTGAGTCAGTAATAAATAGAAGCTTGCAAAATGCGTAATCTCGGCTGTTGTGGCAGTTAGCAGTAATCCCCAATTCTGCAGGCCAATAAATTACTGTCCTTAGTGATACTACCAGACCAATGAAGTACTGGAACACAAATTAACAAATTACCTCCTTAGGATTACAGATCAGAGGGTTGAACAAGGCACTGCCAATATTTGTGAATGCTTGTGAACACCAAACTGTTCATAGTTTTATATCTAGCTTTTTTATGTACAGTTCAATAAAATCCCAAAAATATGTGTATTTCCTAGCATGAAAATGCACAGGGTTCCATCCTATCATGCCAAAAACGTATTAAGTGTCCACCCTTGGCGTGCCATTCGCCAAGCATGGACTCCCAAATATTTTCAGTAGCAAATGAACATTGAATGTTACAAATGGCAAGTCAAGAACTTTGAGCACTATTTTGAAAAATTGTCAATTGCTGATAAAGAGAGGCCTGTGTGAAAAACCTTTGACAGAATATGACTAATGAGCTTGAATGGTTATATTTCTTTGACAGACCATTCTTGGCCGATCACTGGTACTCTCTGTCCTACCTGTACTTCAGTCCTATTGGGACCCTGACAGTGGTAGTAGTGGGACTGATTGTCAGTCAATTCACAGGTAATGAATTTTCTCCCTTGTGTAGAACCATTTAAGTTCCTTACTTGCATGAGAACTATACTCCTACCCTTCCTCCAATTGATATACCAACTCTTCTTCACATAGCACCCTTCTGATTCAACATAAACAACAAAACTGATACCATCTTTGCCTCCTTACTTGGTTTGATTAAATCTGAATGTGACCAATACAATTCTTGTATAACTATTGAATTATTTTTCAGGTGGTAAAAAGCTGGAACTGGATCCAAGATTGATGCTGATGAAGGACGACCTAACCTGTTTTCATATTTACAACATCATAAAAGAGAAGGTAAAAGATTAACCACAAGAAACATCTCTGAAAAAGTAGGCATTGAAATAAGACAAGAAACAAGAATAAGAGTAGTTTCTGGACATGAACAGAACAGATTGATTTAAAGTGGACAGAATACTTCAGAACAATGAAAGAGCAACGAGTCAGAGAAAATATTAGACATTCTTTAACATATCACTTTTATTCTGATGTACAGTCAGGTGCCGAATCATTGGCGCGTTTGATAATAGGTAAAAAGGTGGAATACGAATTACACAGTTTATAATCCATTGAGGTCAAACATATGGGAATACAATACACCGATGAGCCAAAAACATTAAAATCACTCACATATGAAGCAAATATCGTTGACATTTTGTAACAAAAGAACGTCAAGGTCTGCAGACAAAACTTAGATGGTGAGCAAACAGTTGGCTCCTAAAGTCAATTTGTTGAATGTAGAAATAGGACCAGAGCAACTTTGAGAAAGCTGAATTGTAATGGCCAGACAAGGTCAGAAGTGGCAAGGTTTCATGGCACGCTCCCAGTCAGCAGCAGTGCCTACCAAAAGTGGCCTACAGAGTGACAAACCATAAACTGGCATCAACTGTTGCACAAAGGCAATGAAGGCCATCTTGTCCGATCCAACAGAAGGCCAACTGTGGCGCAAGTTGCAGAGCATCGTAATGATTCTTATGGAATTATGTCACAACACATGGTACATCGCACCCTGCTGCATATAGCGCTTTGCAGCAGCAACCAGCTGAAGCACCCAACTCAAACCCGGGGCCACAGCCGAAAGTGCCTGCAATGGGCATGCTTACGTAAGAACTTTGGAGCAATCGAAGAAGGTTGCTTGTTCTACCAAGTTGTATTCTACATCATGTGCATCGGCTGTGCACGTGTGCACCACTAACCTGGGTAAGAAATGGCTCCAGGATGCACTGCGGCGGAGGATAAGCTGGTGGAGGTGTGATGCTCTGAGAGACGTTCTGCAAGAAAACTGTGGGTCTGGGAATTCAGCTGTTTTGGCAGAATCAGGGAGTCCCAAACAATATTAGGCAGGTGGTTTTAATGTTTAGGCTTATCAGTGTATATCTACGTCGCAATACATGCATTGAAAAAGAGAGGATTTTGCCTTATTTTTGAATTCAGCACATGGGGTATCAACTATTCTTTATTACAGTGGTTCTCAACGTCAGTCACGGGACCCCCACTGTGTATGCTGGTTTTTGTTCCAACCACAATTGCAATCAAAAAACTAGATAGTCCGGTCGCCCGCAACCACATGGGTGTAGCCCCCAATGGCCCGCTTCTCCCCCTTTTTGCGCATTATTCGGCAAAAACTGTCACCATGACAACCAAAATCAATAGGTGTCATAACTGAAGTATAACACGTCCATACCAAATATGAAAGCAGTCGGTCAAAAATTACAGCCTGCACAGCGTCCACAAAGAAGTGTCTCCGGACGCGGAGGCGGTGGAGACGATGAGCATGAATCCATGGTAGCCGCCTGACTTTGTCCGGGGGCTACAATTAAAGGGGCTGTTCATTTTTCTTAATTAGGTGCAATTCATTTTTAAAACAGTTACTTACCGGCAGAGGTCACGTAAACCGAATATTTTCTGTCATTGACGGATTTTTTTTAACAATGACGGAACATTTGAAGGCCGTCCGTCATTTTGACAGAATGTAATTCACCAGAGGTGGACATTCCAGAGGTCATAAAGTAAAAGTCTGGCCATGTTTTACCTCCAGCCATGAGCCCAGGCAGCTGATTTTCCTAATTAGTTCAACCTCTGGGCTGAAGAGTTGCTGCAATTCTTAGATCCAAGCAGTTGCAGCAAAATACTGGGACGGACTTTTACTCTCTAGGGCCAGATTGTCCACCTCTGTAATTCACACCCCCGTCCAATTGGTGATGGGTGTCGTATTGTCTCGAGCATTGTCTTTGATCTGTATGACAGAGATGCCAAGTGTCACGCATTCGGTGTAGGTCTCGCGCATTTTTTAGGCTTATTCACCGTAGTCCGCAATTATTCAATGAACGCTTATTGATGAGATTCTCACGCAGAATTAAAATCCTTGTGCACTGAAGTTTCAGTTTCACTTGCGTAAAGGTGGACCTCACTATGAAAAGCGATTATGACTCCGGACTTCTCGTGCTTCTCTTTACTCAGGGATTGGAAACAATGTACGTGTTTCATGATCGTTTAAATTGTTTAAATGAAATCAGACCATTTGAAACGTCTTTATCCCATTCCATTGCTTTCAATCCCTCAGTAAAGACAAGCGTGAGAATTCCCGAGTCAAAATCAATTTCCGTGTCACTAGTGGGGAAATCCACCGTAATGCACGTGAAACTGATTAACTTAATG